CAAAGAAAAGCAAGGGAATGATTAATGCAAATTTGAGGTTTAGGAGTCTTTCTGGGAAAGAAAGAAAGGTATGCATTTGAGGAAGCTCTTGTGAGCGTTTTCAAAGATACTAGTCTTGGACATCTTAAGTTCTATGCTGGGTATGTGGGTGATTGTTCATTATTCTTCGAACTATGCATACGTTATACACAAACTCTTGATATATTTCTCAAAAATCAATCAGTCAATAAAAGGGCGGGTCACATAAGAAGGCTGCCTCAGACCTTGAAGTCTACCGTTGCTACAGCAACGGACCTCCCATGTTTTGGACACAAGGGTGAGGCTACAGAGGCCCAGCTCCACGCCAGTCAATTCCTGGACCAAACTGAAAACGGCTGGGAGCCTGGGTCCAAGTGGACAACTGAAGGCCCCTGAGAAGACGGAGAACCTTCCCTGGAAAGTTTTCTTCCTGGGAGCACCTGGTGGCTCAGTCGGTTAAGCGTCCGACTTTAGCTCAGGCCATGATCTCACAGTCAGCTCAGAGCCAGGAGCCTCCTTTGGAGTCTGTGTCTCCTCTCTGCTCCTCCCTGACTTGTGCTCTCTCTCTCTCTCTCTCAAAAATAAATTAAAAAAAAAAAAAAGTTGTCTCTCTGCCCTGCCTTTCTCTCCTCCTTGGCAAAGACCTAGCCTCTGGTGTCCCTCCGAAAGGTTGCCAGAGCCTCACCTACCAAGAGACACACCTGGCAAGCAGAGGCAGGGCCACCTTATCACCGGGCTGGCTTAGGACAGAGAGTACAGGCTATCAGGGGTTCTTTTGGGAAATGCCATTAGCTATGTTGGGAGTGGTATGGCCTTTGTCCCTTGAGGAACATGTGACCTTTGGTGAAAATGTAATCTGGTATAAACCAGCAAGAACTCATCACCTGGGGATTGGCTTTGACCTTCCTGCTACTTCAGCAATGCAGACAAGCTTTTCCATCTTGTTAGTACCACTAAGGGAGAAGATAAAGTCGATTCCAGGGGGTAGGCAGGGCTAGAAAGTAGAATGTGATTTTTTTGTTGTTGTTAAAATTTTTTTATTTCTGAGAGATAGAGACAGTGTGATCGGGGAGGGTCAGAGAGAGAGGGAGATACAGAATCCGAAGGAGGCTCCAGGCTCTGAGCCAGCTGTCAGCACAGAGCCCAACGGGGGCTCGAACCCACGAACCGTGAGATCATGACCTGAGCCGAAGTCGGACGCTCAACCGACTGAGCCACCCAGGTGCCCCAGTAGAATGTGATATTTAAGAGCACCAGCTTTGGGGGAAAACACAGGTATCTGAGTTCAGAGCTCGCTTCTTCCCCAAGCTAGCTGAGTGACCTAGAGCAAATCACTGAGCCTCTCTGAACCTGCTTCTCTCACTTGCTAATTGGGGATATGCACAGATTCCCAATTCACTGGGTTGTTGTATTAGATCAAGTCAGTCAGACAAAGGAGGAATTAGCACAGAGCTGGGCTCATAGTACATTCTCCATAGATACAGTTTTCAGTTTTCACAGGAGAACTGGGATTTGCCTGGAGTAGAGGAAGCGCTCTGTACTAGGCCCCATCCTCTTTAAGGAGAAGAAATAGAAAAAAATTCATGCTTCCAAGTGGCAAAGTCTACTTAACCTGCCATAGGGTAGAAATCGCGTGCATGTTCACCGAAAAGGCGTAGCACAAAATAGGTTGCGTTAAGCAAACAAAAGCTGGCAATAGTGGGGCGCCTGGGTGGCTCGGTTGAGCGTCGGTTGAGCGTCCGACTTCGGCTCAGGTCATGATCTCACGGTTCATGGGTTCGAGCCCCGCGTCGGGCTCTGTGCTGACAGCTGGCTCAGAGCCTGGAGCCAGCTTCGGATTCTGTATCTCCCTCTCTCTATCTGACCCTCCCCTGCTCACGCTGCTCTCTTTCAGAAATAAAGCATTAAAAAAAAAAAAAAAAAGCTAGCAATAGCATTGGAAGTCCAAGACAGGGGAAAGGAGCCATCCACACCTGTCAGTACCTGAGCCCCACTTGCTGGCCCAGACCTTCCCCCTTCAGCCAGCTGCCCGGCCGGAGGGGGTGGGGGCGGGGTGCTCCTTGGTGCTGCCAGGCACTGGCATCCTTCCCACCGTCCTCTATCTTCCCCCAACTTCTTTCTGCTTCTCCTGGCCACGTGTCCCTCTGGCCTGGCAGCCTGAAACAGCAACAGGGAAACAAGAACTATGAATTAGAGGAAAGCCCGACAGCTGATGCCCCCCTTTCCCCATCAGGGGTTCACTCAGTGGAAATCCCAGTGTCCTCGACAGCCCTTGTGCGGAAAGGGCAACCCCTCCATCATGAAGGCAGGCAGTGTGCTGTAATGGGTAACCGTGAGGTTCTGGAACTAGTCTAGAGCCAATGCCTCACCCCGCTGCTTACTGCTGTGACCTTGGTTGGGTAGGCTCCTCCCCTCCCATGTGCCTTAACTGCCCGGCTGGTGCAATGGGACTCCACTCCGGATTGTTGTGTAGATTGAAATGAGTTCACTGACGTTGAACTCTTAGAAAGGTGCCTGGCTCATGGGAAGTGCTGGCTAGGAGGCAGGGCTTTGCTGTGGTCTGGCTCTTGCGGCCCTGTCTCAGCACTCACCGACTTACGTTCACAATATCCTTGTGAGCCGCCCGAGGAAACATTGGCTAGGTCTGTCTCTCTTCCTGATGCCGCAGCCCGGCTCGTTCTGTAGTCCAGACCATTGATGGAACCAAGATTTCATTTCTTCGGAGGCTACTACTGTTTCACTTGTTATTAATGGGCATGTTTTTATTGTTCCGTTTTACCTGCTGCGTATTGTCCTCTTAGATTAAAATAATGATACCTTCAGTTAATAATACCTTGCCCTTGGAGAATTGCTTTTATCTCAGCAGCTCAAAGCCCTCTACAAACATGACCTCATTCATTCTCCCTGCGCTCACAGGACAGGGACACTCCTATGTTAGCCAGCCTGAGAAGAAGATGCCCTACCCCCACTCACCTCCAACCAGATTCTCAGAAGCCAAAGTATTGACTGAGCATTTCCACCTCTCTCTGCCACAGCTCAGAGGCAGAACTCTGTCGCTCTCCCTCTCTCTGCCCAGAGTGGTCTTACGCACACTCAAAACCGGAGCCTTGATCTCTACGCCTTTCTCACATGCCCACAGCTGTGAAATGGTTCCTGCCAATGGTAAACATCAAAGAAATCTTCAGAATTAACTGCCTTGATAGCAGGGATGCGGGCGGGGGTGGAGGAAGGTTAGGCAATCTGGGGGTTTTCAGGATTCTTGTCTTTCTGGAGAACTTCTTAATTAGGACCTAAGGGCTCCTGCAGGCTGAAATGTCTCTGCCCAGGTGAACCCTACACTCATGGCCTTGACACGTTTGCCACTTGTATGTACTTGTGAAAACTGGAGCCCCACAACGACAGTACTTCCTTGTTCTGAGGCTGCTTGTGGCCCCAGCTCCCTGGCAATAGAAGCTTCTGGCGGCTCACTTTTGTTTTCACCTTGCAATTACTGGAAGGGAAGGGCTGCAAGCTGTACTTGACTCTCCAGCCACACTCTGGGCGTCAGCCATGTGCACTTAATTATGGCAAAAGAAGCAGTCAAAAAGCTGACTCCTTCCCCTTCAAAATAAACAAACAAGCAAGTAAACAAACAAAAAGACTAAATGGGATAAGCTCATTACAACACCCGAGGCTGTTTTACATCAGTACATAAACACTGGGTGTATTTTTTTCCTTATTTTTATTTTATTTTTTATATGGTCAAGTTTTCTTAGCTAGAGACTTTCATCCACTTTAGGCAAAGTCAAAATAGAATCATGTCTTGCTTTCTTCTAGCCTCCTATTCTGCAGGCCCTTAGCTGATTTAAACATACTGTGTAATTGGTATTTCAGATCCAAAACCTACCAAGTTTTTCAGAAACTGGAATTCTGACAGTGAATCCCTTGTAATATTTACCTTCCTAACTTCTCTGCCCCTTCCTCAATTCACTTAAACTCCTAGTTCTTCCCCACCCCCACAATACCCAAACACAGCCCTGAAGGTCAATCCTTTTTTAAGATTTTGTTTTTAAGTTATCTCTACACCCACCTGTGGGGCTTGAACTCACAACTTCGAGATCAAGAGCGGAGCATTCTTCCTACTGAGCCAGCCAGGTGTCCATGAAGGCCAAATCCTTATCCAGAAGGTGATAGCTCAACACATATAAACAAATTTTAGTTTTTAAAATGGCTAAGGTTGGAGTACCAGTACCCGTATAGAAACAGTGTATTAATAAAAATGATAGAAATTAAGCTTCACCTAGGCTAACTGATTTAAGGGAAAAAAAATTCTCAGCTTGGTCTATTAGTGACTGAGAAAGTCTCATTTTTCCCCCCTTGCAAGTATACTTAGTGTATGTTAACATTGGTTTATATCTTTAGAGAGCAAAAGTTTTTGTTCTAAAAACTAGGAAAAGGCTGTTTGGCCTTTGGGGAGGGTAATGACTGAAGGCAGAAAGTGGGTACCTTAAATTTCAATAAAAGGCTAAAAAAAGTAGAGCTGTTCGAAAGTTTAAAAAAAATAAACAACTCTGAGACTTGAGCAGCTGCAAAGCCTCTGTTTTCTATTTTGATCATTCTGTTTCTCGAGATGACCACATCTTTCAGAGGAAATGAGTCAAAGCCACTCTGTCTTGCTTTTCCAGCTGAGCATGTACAGTTTCAATGAAGTAATGAATGAACTTGGCCGCACCACCCCCAAGCCTACAACAGCAAACACAGGGCCCTCGGCCAATCAGCAGACACTCAAGGTTTTCAAGTTGAGTTCAAACAGGCCCACGGGAGGCCAATCAGCGCGCACGGCTCCGCCCCAAACTCCCGGCCGCGACCAATCAGGAACCTGGAAGAGCCAAAACACAGAGGCCGACCAATGCCGGGCGGCCCCACGGCGCAGAGCTCCGCCAATGGGCGCGGCCGGGCGAAAAGAGAAACAGTGCGGGCCGCGGGCCGCAGGATTCGAATCGAACGTCCGCACCGGAGCCGGGCGCAGGCCGAGCGGAGCGGGCCAATCAGCGGCGGCGGCTCGCGGCCCCCGAACGTTGGGACAGCGGCCCCGCCCCGCGCCGTTGTTTGTGGTGTCGGCGGCCGCGGGAGCCGGGCCGGGACACTCGCCTGGCGAGCGGCGGGTGGCGAGGGGTCCGGAGGCCGCGGGCGGGCGGGCGGCGAGCGCGAGCCGAGAGCGGCCGGCCTCCCGCGGCCGCCCAGCCGGAATCGCGCGGCGGCCGGAGCCATGTCGGTGAACATGGACGAGCTGCGGCACCAGGTCATGATCAACCAGTTCGTGCTGGCCGCGGGCTGCGCGGCCGACCAGGCGAAGCAGCTGCTGCAGGCGGCCCACTGGCAGTTCGAGGTGCGCGCGGGCCGAGGCCCGGGGCGCGGGGGACGCGGGGGCGCGGGCGCGCTCTATTTGTGTCGCCCCGTCAGGCGGTCCGCGGCCGGGAGGTCTCGCGTGGGGCGCGGGTCCGGGACCGGGGGCGGCGCGGAGGGGCCCTGCACGCGGGGCCGACGGGTCGGCCGGGGGTCCGGGGGTCCGCCGCGGGGGGGGAGGGTGGCTTCCCGCCCCCGGCCCCGTTAACCGTCGCCCTGCCGCTGTGTTTGTCCGTAGACCGCCCTGAGCACGTTTTTCCAAGAAAGCAACATTCCCAACGGCCACCACCACCACCAGATGGTAAGCGGGGCCGGGTGCCGGCGGGCGGGCGCGGCGCGGGCGCGCACCCCGGCCCGCAGCCCACCGGGAGCCGAGGGCGCGGGCCGGGGGCCGCTGTCAGCCGCCGGCGGTGACAGCCATGTTGCCGGGGAGCGCCGCGCCGCGATGTAAACAAAGAGCCAAAATGTCTTCCAGGAAAGAGCGGCTCCCGGGGCCGGCTGGCTCGCCCAACTTCGTGGGCCGGCCTCCTGGGCGTCTGTACCTCGACCTCGGGCCTGGGCCGGGCGCGCTCCCCGGGGCCGGGGACCGGGTGGCCGGGAATGGGGAGGGGGCTCGGATGGTAACGGGTCGTCTGGGGGAACTGGGAGCCCGAATGAAGAGCCCCGAGGGGGCTGGGAGCTGGGGTGGCTATGTTTGCGGAGAACTCCCTCCCCCCAACCCCCCCAGCCAAACAACCCAGCCCTGCAGGGAACAGGAAAGGGATAAATCCACCCTGGCTCGGGTAGAGCTAGGCTCTACCCAGAGAGGTATGTTCACTCTTTCCTGTTGTTGGAAAAGGGACTTGCCCTGAGCGTGGAGGACAGACGGATTTAGACAAGATAAGGACAAGAATTTGCATTTAAGCTCGTATGTAAAGACACATGAAAGTACAGGAAACAGAAGCAGCTGGGGTCTGGGTTTGCTTGCTTTTCCAAGGCGGCCCCCAGGCCTGAGGCTTTGCCCTCCTGGCCAGTGGGGGTGGCCTGCTTTCCAGGGGCACAGGCCGGAGCTTTCACTTTAGAGGCTTGAATGCCTTCCCCTCCCCACCCCTAGTTACCTATTAGCCCTGCTGGAGGCGGAGGGACTGGGCTCCATAATAGGGAGTGTAAGACATTATTCCCCAGGAGATCTGTGGTGGCTTCTGGAGTACGTTTTTGGCATTTTAACGCTTGGTGTTCTTGCCCGTGGCTCCCTTCTCGGCCCCCTTTCCTGGAGGAGCTGCAAATGGTTCTGTGCCTTCTTATCCTTGGTGCCCTGTTGTCATCTAGTTGCAAAGGACAAGTAGAAGGGTCTGTCTTGACCTTTTAACCAGCTTCTCACTTGGAATGACTTCTGCATATAGATCAAAAGACAAGGAACATCTAGGAATATGGAATATTCCGGGAGAGCTGTGCTGGCCATGGGCTGCGGCAGCTAAGGCCAGGTTCCTCGTAAGCCATGAAGGGTCGTTTCCAGGAGACCTTGCCCTGCACGTGACCATGGGAAAGGTCTGGCTCCCACCTTGCACTAGGGCCTGGGAGCACCCTGCCTCCCATCTCTCAGAAGAGCCTTGGGGTTTGCTCCACCTGCTGTAGCCAGAAAGTCCAGGGACTTCAAGAACAAGCATTTTGTGGTGCAGTGAACAGGGAGAGCTGAGACTAGTGGCCCTTTTAGGTCCTGTTGTTCATTCTTGCAAATCCCAAGGGATTATAATCCCTCCTCTCTCAATTTTGTTTTTAACATTATTTATTATTGAGAGACAGAGCATGAGAATGGGAGACAGGCAGAGAGAGGGAGACACAGAATCTGAAGGAGGCTCTAGGCTCTGAGCTGTCAGCCCAACGCGGGGCTCAAGCTCACAAACCCGCACGATCATGACCTGAGCCAAAGTCGGACACTTAACCGACTGAGCCACCCAGGCACCCCTCTCTCTCTCTCTCTGGTTTTTTATGTACTCTCTGTAACCCACGTGAGCCTGGAACTCACAACCCGGAGATCAAGAGTCTGTTCTTCAACTGAGCCAGCCGGACGCCTGGGGATTATGATCTCTTAAAAGCTTCCCTCAGGCAGGCGGCGGGTTTTGTAACAAACATTATAATCTGGTGTATCCATCAGTCCACCACGGATTGAGTACTTAATCAGTGCAGTGAAGAACGCCATTCCTGCCTTCCAGGAGTCTATTTTTTTTTTTTTTTTTTTTCAGAGAGAATCAAAGGAAAAAATTCAAAACGAGAATAGTAATGGCATAATACCAGAAGTGACCCAGGGCACAGGTAGCTGATAAATGATTGTCCCATAAATGACTGTACACTCACACAGCTATTATAGGCTTCTTCCCGGACAAGGCCTGGGAGTGGGGGCTCTGAGAAGAGTAAGGGGCACCGCATTGGGAGCGGGGTGCAGTCGACACTGGGTGTGCTTCGGGCCTGCAGAGCTTCATCCACAGTGGTCAGAAGCAGGGAGCTGGAGGGGCTCCGTGAGCATGTGGTGCAAACCCCTGCTTTTACCAAAACAGAGGGAACCTGGCAAAGGTGAAGGAGCCTGCCAGGGGGCCGTGGGATGCGCCTGGCCCCCTGGAGCTAGTCCTCTGCAGCGGGGTGGATTGTTGAGACAGGCTTCCCTGGCTTGATCAACTGGGGAAGTCACGATGCTGTGATGCAATTGGCCTCTCCCCCCCACCCCCCATTCATTGTTTCCTGCTGCCGAGAAGTCAGCCCTGGGGTGGGGGGCGGGGAACAGAGGAGGGAGGAGGGAAGCGGTCTGGGTGGGGCCGCGCCTGCTGGGAGCCCCAGGCCCGTCCCCGAGGAAGACGATGGTTGGGGCTCCCTAGCTGCGGTCCGGAGCTGGCCCAGTAATCGGACAGCTTCTCCCTCCCCATTTCTGCCTGGGATTTAAAGGCAGAGCTGTGAAAGCGCCCTCTGCGAGGTGAAGAACCCTAGAATCTTGCTTCCACCCCCCTCCTCTAGCCCCGTGCCTGGGGGAGGGGCTGGTGTTGCTAAAATTAGGAGAAATTCAAAGAAGTACTAGCCTGGCTTCCCGGGAAAGGGAGAAGCTGCTGGTGAGGTCAGAACAGGCTTTGTGTAAGGCCTTGCTGTCTGCTGCCCTGGCCCCTGTGGGACACTTCCGGGATGGCACCCCCAGCCCCACCGCGCGGCAGTCCCCCGGGGTAGGCGAGGAGAGTGCTGGTCTCAGTCCTTCACCCTACCCCAGCCCTTGGCCCTTCCTGGTGCGGGTGCCTGAGCGGAAAGAGTGGTGGATACTGTAGAGTTTGGGGAGTTTGCCTCCCGGGGTCATGGCAGAAGACCGCAGGTATTGGTGTTTGTAAAAGTACCCCCACGAGGCCGGCTGAGGGACAGAACGGGCTGAGACTTCTGCCAGCATCTGGCTGACACATCATGGGCGAGAGGCTGGGGACGCAGGAAACCCAAGTCCCTCCCTGCCTGGTTTTTGTCCTCTGGGAGCTGAGGCATGAAGTTGTACTTGATTCTAAGCGCAGAGGAGTCGGGGTTGGGTAGAGATTAAGAGCTGGGTCCTACAGATCAGGGACCCCCCCCCCCCCCAGGAATTCGAGCCAGGGAATTCTGCGGTGGGTGTGCTTTGGTCAATTGACTTGAGCTCTGGGCCTCGGTTTCCTCATCTGTCTGCCCTGGCGTTGTGAGAAGTGGGATAATGCTGGCCTGCTGGCTGGTGCTGTTAATGCGAGACGAACCCAGACACCGAGAAAGTGGGGCTTCTGGGGCTTCTGGGCATCGGAGGGAGACCCTGGGTCTGGCTGCCTTCCTTTGACCAACAAGCCCAGAACATGTGAGGGCGGATTGTTGAGGGAGCCAGCTGGTTTCTTACCAGGGTGAGGCGCCAAGCAGTGGTGGCCCGGCTCTCTCTTGTCCTCACTTGAATCTGACACCCTAGCTTCTGGTTGGAATTAACCCGTTACTTCTGACACTCCGCAGGGTGTCAGCTGCCTGGCATCATGAAACTCTCTTTGGTGTTGATAAAAATTGTTGGAGTTTGTCCTTGTTTCCATTGGCTCAGGGTGAGAAGGTGCCCTTGTCCTGTCGAAGCTGCTTGGGGACTGGAGAATGGGAATAGCGGAGGGCCCGGCCTGGGGAAGCCTCACCTGAAGGCCCTGTCTGGGTCGGAGGTGGGGGCGGGGAGTGGGCCGGTGACCCTCCCCCAACATCTGTGTTCTCTCCCAGCAGATGTGCACCCCCAGCAACACACCTGCCACGCCGCCCAACTTTCCCGATGCACTGGCCATGTTCTCCAAGCTTCGCGCCTCGGAGGGCTTGCAGAGCGGCAACGGCCCCATGACGGCCGTGGCCTGCTCCCCCCCTGCAAACTTCAGCCCCTTCTGGGCCTCGTCCCCACCTGGCCACCAGGCCGCTTGGATCCCGCCCTCCTCACCCACCGCCCACAGCTTCCACCACCTGCACCACCCGCAGCCCACGTGGCCCCCCGGAGCACAGCAGGGGGGCTCCCAGCAGAAAGCCATGGCCGCCATGGATGGCCAGAGATGAGACTGAATGCCGACACCGCCAGGCGCTGGGCTGGAGCTGGGGGGGCGGCCCAGGGTCCGCGGAGACACAGGAGGGCCAGGGTGGGGGGAGCTGGGGCGGGTGGGGGTTTCCTGAAGATCGCACTGGAAGATTTTATAAAAGAATTTTTGTGGGTGGGGGGGGGATAGTAAACTTCCTGAGCCACTTGGGTCTTTCAGGAGTTTCTCTTCAGGCAAGTTTTTTCTCTTTTTAATATATAACTATAATATATATGAATATATAAATGTAACTAATGTATGTGAGAGTGGGGCTGGCTGGCTGAGGTGTCGGGGGTCAGCAGGGAAGGGCCAGCACCCCTTCCTCCACCCCTAGCGCCGGGCAGGTGCTTGGGGGCTAGGGGCCGTGATCTTGGCCCTCACCAGGGCCTCCGCTCAAAGGTCACGCCTTCTGGAATCAGAAGAGGACCCCCACGGATCCACTCCAAGGTGTTCTATGGTGGTGAAGGTGTGGAGGTCTCCAGGGCCCTCTCCCCACCCCGGCTTCCTGGCTGGCTCCTCAGCAGCCCTGCAGCTCCTGGGGGCCCCCCTTCTCCAGCTGGATGTGCGGGGCTTGTGCGGAACTAAGGAGCCCCTGCCGGGGTCACAGGCCCAGGCTGTGCTGCGAGGCTGGGGGACCTGATCCCCCATGGCCACCCTGACTCTCCGGTTGTGCGTCCCGTCCGAGTGGGTGACCGAGTGGAGCGCTTGCCTTTGGATTTAGTTCCCAAATCAATCATCTCACCAGGGTGAAATTTTAATTTAAAAACTTAAAAGAGACTTTTCTAACTTTCCTGGTTTGTGGTGCCTTTATTTGCCTTGGTAGGAAAAAAAGCTCTCCTGGGGCCTGGGGGCAGTGGGACCCCCGCTGTGATGGGGGGGGATGGGCTTCCTTGCCCGGTGGCCGGGCTGGGTATTCTGAGGAGGGGTGTCCAGACCCTGGGATCTAGAGGACAGGCTGGGTCCCTTGAGTCTGGAAGGGAGAGGGGAGACTGGGCCTCACTTGGTTACCATGACCCTCTCATCTTGGCCCCTGGCTGGCGCTCAGCCCTGAAGTCTTGTCCGCAGTGGGGGGCGCTTCCCCTCCACCTGGTGCCCGGGGCAGCCCCACCCTCTGGCCCCCCAAGCGCCTCCCAGCCAGGTCCATCCCTACTTCTGTCCTCTGCCTTCTTCGGGAGAGCCTGTCCCTGAGTGCGTGTTGGGGTATGGCCATACCCCAAAGCTCCGCCAAGGCTTCAGGGACCCAGAGAGCGTGCATGTGCCCCCACAGGGACTGGCCTCCTTGTTTCCCACCTTCCCCACAGCCTCCAGGCAGTAGTGGAGGCCGAGGTGGCCATTCCTGGCCCAGTGGGGCCCTTTCTCGGATGACCCTGCGGTGTGGCCGCTCCGGGCAGGAGGGGGGAGGAGGAGGAGGAGCCCGGTTGCCGGCCCCAGGGTTGGGATTCCTCCGTGAGCCTCATGTTGGGGGGGGGGCGCGCCACCTTGAGCCCCTTGTCCCCCAAGAGCTTTTCTCCCTCCCTCTGAGCAGCCAGAGCCCAGGAGTGGGCCCCTCTGTAGCTCAGGGCTGCGGGGGGAGGGGGAGTTCTGGACACCTGAGCCTGGTAAGCCAGCCCACCCTGCTCCTGGCTCTTCCCGTGCCTTCTCGAAGGCCTGCTGGGAACCCGGTAACAGCCCCCCCTCAGCGCCTCTGCTTGTGTTGCTTTAGATGCTGGGTTGGTCCTTTCGGTTCTGTTTCCTGGTTGGAAACCCCTGGGGCTCCTCTCGGCCTCCCCCCACTAACCAGCCCACCTGTGTTTTCCCGGGCTGCCAGGGGAAGTCCCTACAGTGCACGTGGGTGGGCACGTGGGCGGCCACGTGGGGACCGCAGCCCCAGGAGGGTGGGCGGCCCGGGCCGGGGCGGAGGAGGGTGGGCCTGGGAATGTCCCCCACTCCCTGCCCTCTCGTGGGCGTGGGGAGGCCTGGGCGTGGCGGCTGGCCCGCCTGCTGCTGCTCCCTGCCTGGCTGCTGAGTTCGGATTCTCGGCCAGGGACACCGAGCCAGCGACCTGACATTTCTCAGGGTGCGAAATGGGAGCCTGAGCAGGAGCAGAGGGGCTGGTCCTCCCCTGCCTACCTCCTGCTGGAAGAGAAAAGGGCACCGGGTGTGAGGGGTACATACCGGGGCCCCAGGGCGCGGGCTGCGCCCCTCCTCTGGGCTAGCCCATCAGGTCGGTGCATGAAGATGAAAGCGTCCCAGAGGATGGGGAAAGAAGGGGGAAGCCCCCTCCCGCAGGGAGCCAACCCCACCCTCCGTGGCCCACATGGAACTGGGGAGAAACCCTTTTCTGGGCAGTTTCCTGCCACACTTTCCTTTACAGTATGATCTGTCACCCCATCCCCTCACACCTTACAGCAGGCCTCTGGTGTCAGACATCCCTTTCCCATGTCGGGGAGATGGAGACTGGGGCAGGGCGCGGGACCCGTGAGAACTTCAGAGGCCTCAGTGTGAGGGCGGCCCCTCGCCGGGTGGCATGGCAGGGGGGCGGGGGGGCTCCTCTCTTGCAGTTGCTGTAGCTGATGAGCTCACCCCTGCCTTTGCTCCTCTGGCCCCTCAAACCTGCACAAAGGACTCAGGGGATAGCAGTCTGGGGCTAGTGGAGGCGAGCGACCTGGCAAATGGCTGTCACCAGGCTAACCCGCTCCTGACACACTTCTGCTCCCTGGGGAGGGAGGAGGGGAGCGGGGAACTGGCCGAAGCCAGCCAGGCGCCCCCCAACCACACACACCCCGCTTGCTACGCTGCACATGACAGCAAATGAGGGTCGCCCCAGGTGGCTGGTGGCGCGGGAGCAGGGCACGGCCCGAGCCATCCGCAGGGGAGCAGCTGGTGGCTGCCAGTGTCACCTCTGCTTCAGGGTACAGCTTGTGCACGGACTCTGGGAGCCCCAACCTCTCCAGAAATCCCCAGTGGGCCCAGACGGGAAGGCAGCAGCGTCGAGGGTCCAGCTGAGGTCCGGGGTGAGCCGGGGTCTGGCCTGTGCTGCCCCCGCCCACCTTCCTGAGGCTCTTGGAGGACAGCTTCGTCTGTTGGGGGGGCGGGGGTCACGGTCTAATTCCCAGGCTACAAGTCATTCCTGGTTCTCTAAGAGAAGGCCCGTCCCGTGATCCAGGGGGCAGCAGGGGCCCCTCCCTTTCTACTCCATCTTTCTGAGCCAGGACGAGATCAGTCTCACTGCCCCAAGCTTCTTCCTAAACATTTATTTGTAGCTTTGCTCACTGAGCGGTGGTGGACCTCGGCCCTCGGGTGGGCTCCTCGAGCCCCTCCCTCGGAGGCACATCCCGGTGCCCGTCTGCATTGGCCGGCAGGTCTGCCCTCCCGCTGGGGCTGGGCAGCTGGGCCACCTTTGACTGGGAGAGGTGCCCATCCAAGGAGACGGGTCTGTCTTTCCGCTGAGGAGCTGGGAGACACAGGAGGCTCTGTCTCACCGCGCACGTCCGTTGCAGCCTGCCACAGCCCCCCGGCCCCCTGCCCCCAGCTCGCCCAGGGCCCAGGGGCGTCAGGAGCAGCCCCACTAGCCAGGCTGATGGGGGCATGACGCCAGAGAGGTGGCCCGTGGAGTTGGGGTGCGCAGCGCGAGCCCTCACTCGAGCTCCCAAGCAAAGCTCCTTTATAATCTCCGTGAGTTAAAAATAATCAGGCTCTCCGTCAGCGGCCAAGAGCCTGCCTCTTAAGTAATGTTTCCTCTATTAATACAGGGACTATTTAGGCAATATTCGCACAAATAGGGGCAGTTTTTCCTCAGACTGCCCTCCCTCATGCTCCCTAGCGTTTGAGGTGCCCTCGGAGTGGACAGCGGCATGCCAGGGGGAAGGAAGCCGAGTACCTCCAAGAACATGGTTTTGGAAGCCAGGGTCACAGACCTGCACTCTGTCCACCACTGAGTCCTCTACCCCAGCCTTGCTGCCCTTTGTTACCAGCGGAGGCTGACCACTTCGGTCTGAATTGCTAAGAATTTAGTTCTGCTGCTTCCTAGCTGTGTGACCTTGGGCAAGTACCTTAACCTCTCTGTGCCTCAGTTTTCTCAGCTGTAAGTGAGGCCAATGATGGTCCCTACCTCTTAACGTTGGTGTGAGGATTAGAACTGGTTCCTATGTGTAAAGCTCCTCACGGTGCCCAGCTGGTGAGAAGCCCTCAATAAAGGCGAGAGGCCATGACCAGCACTTCCCCCAGGCACTCACAGAATGAATGCCGGAACTGGAATGGATGGGAAGGGGCATCTGGGGCTGGGACCTTTAACCTGGGCAGGGGGAAGCAGGGACAGCCCCTGAGCCTCCTGCAGGCATCTACAAAGTGTTGTGGGAACACAACTTTCTCTAGGAAGAAGGTCAGCACCTTTCATTTAGATCCCCTTTCTTGGGGGCCCTACCTCTAAGGGCACCAAGTTAGCAGCACCCCTTTATGGACAGATGAGGAAGCAGGTCTGGAGGGCGGGGAGGCTTGCTCAGAGTCACTTGAAAGTGAGCCGGCCTAGTGGCTCCGGGCCGGTGTCCCTCTCTGGCCCCCACCCTGGGAGTCCCTGAGCCCCCCAGACTTTCAGGCGGGATTCAGCCCTTCAGGGGAGAAAGGACTCGAGAGACCATTCAGGCCTGGGAGTGAGGAGAAGCTCCTCTCCAGACAGGGTCAGAAGGAGGGGTTCTGTGTGTGGGGGTGATGTTATGTCCCCCCCCCCCGTGCCCACCAGGTGCCACACAGAGCTGAGCACTAGCTCCAGGAGAGTGGGCACACGTGAGTGCGGGGGTGGGGATGGGGGGCTCTGGGCGTGGCTGGGGCCTGGAGCCAGAGCCTTGGGCGACAGCACTGCCCCTCTTTCCCCTTCGGTGAGATGGGGATAGTCACAGCATCTGCCCCTCCGACCTGGCACGTATAGCAAGAACTCAGTAAAGATGGATTTTCTCTCTTCTCCCTCCCGTCCCCACTCTCAGCTCGCAGCCACTTCCTCTCTCCAGGGAATTAGGGCAGACAGCAGGCATGGGCCGGGAAGGGGGCTGGCACGGCAAGGAGGAGAGGGCCCGAGGGAGGAGGGCAGGGGTGAGGGCCCCTGGGAGGGTGCTCCCGCCAGAGGGGAGCTACCTGAATTGCTGGCCGCCACCATCTGAGCACTCTGAGACCGCGAGGGCCGCTGGCTGCTGTTGCCGATGGACTGCTGCTGCTGCTGTGTGTGCAGCCGGGGCTGCCTGGACTTGTGCTTGGTCATCCCCGAGGCCAGGGCCGGGGCTGGTGAGGGCAGCGGACGGGAGGGTCAGTTTTGAGACCCCGAGGGAGAGCTCAGCGGGGGCCCGTGGGGACGCGGAGGGGGCTGCGGGGCAGCTGGTCACGGCCAGCCCTGGCTGGGGTCCCGCTAAGCACACCCTTCATTCCCATGGCCGGCCGGCCCCCCGCCCAGATGTCCTCTGAAGACCCGCACACATCAGCCCCATCCTGGGCGCTGGGCGGGTCCTGCCCGGGGCTCTGAGACCAGGTGTGTGTGGGGTGGCCAGCAGTGCCCTGCAGGCCTGGCTAACTGGAGGTGGGCATCGGGGGGGGGGTGGCGAGGGGGGGAAACGGGAGAGTCACCAAGCGGTGGGCGGGCTCAGGCGGGGCATGTTGGGGTTTGAAAAAGGGGTAGGAACTCGGCACCGCTGGTGCTGGCACAGAGGCTGAGGCAGGCAAGCCAGCGGGGGCAGCAAAAGACGGGGCACCTGGCATAAATATGTGGCCGTGATACCCCAGCGCGCCGGCTGAGGCGGGCAGCTGTCCCCCACCGGCAGCGCTGACCTGGACCTTTCAGAGCCCTGAACGTTGGGAATTCGGGGAGGCTGCAGACGAAGGCAGGCAGCTGGGGTCCAGTGGCCCCACGGCCTTCCAGGGACTGGACAGAGCCCCGGGGCCTCTCGAACAAGGAGGCTGAGGCGGCTCTGGGCCACCTGGACACTCACTGTCTTTGGTCAGGATGCCCGGCAGCCTTGTATCTATCCGTCCCTTGTAAATATGTCCATCCAGGCCCAAGATATCCACCTCATCGTGCTGTGGGGGAGGGGCGCATCCGTTACCACGCGGCACTGAGAGCTCGCCCTCTGGTCCTTCCTGCACGAGGGCCTGGCGCGCCCAGTGACGTCCCCATCCTCTCCCGACTCCCGGCACCAAGAGTGCTCAGAACGCTCCCCCGGGGCCCTGGCAGTGCCAGGGAGAAGGGAGGGCCCCCGGTGGGGGTGGCCGTGCTAGATGGGCCAGTGGCCAGGGTGCCGCTCTTCCCAGCAACGCAGGAGGACCAGGGGCTTTAGCTCGGAGGGTGTGAGAAGCGGCCTCGAGGCAGAGGGCTGGTCATCCGCCCTTCTGGTGACTGACTTATGGTGGTTTTTCCAGAATGACTGGAGCATTCGGGGGTCACGTCAGGGCCCTGCTCCCAGGCAGCACCGCCTACCTGCATGGCCATCTGGATCTCCTCAGGGGGGTACAGGCCCTGCGACAGCTGCTGCAGACGGGTGCGGCGGTAGGGGTAGGTGAGCGTGTGGCTGCCCCCGCAGCGCCGCGGCACGCTTGGGTAGGTGTAGTCGGCCATCTCGGGCACCCTGCGATGAGGACAGCAGGGTCTGCAGGAGCAGGTGTGACCTGGGACACCCCTAAGGTGAAAGCCAGCCAGACGGGGATGGGGCAGCTGTCTTGGGGAGGGGGTTCTGGGAACCAGGGCGCGAGCAAGGGATAGGGAGGGGTGAATGCATGAGCAGAGCAACCTCACTGCCGGATGACTCTGAAGACCTCTCTTTCTCCCCCTCACACCCACTATGCACACGTGCACGCGCACACACACGCACTCCCCCTCCCTCCCAGGGCTCTCCCCAGCAGTGGCTGAGACATTCACACGGCCGGCAGTGCAGTGAGTGGGCAGAAGCTGATCCCCATGGTGGGGGGGCGGGGGGGCTGGTCTCCGTGGTCCGGGGGACCCGGGCTCTATGGTCCTACCGTTTGTGGTAGGGGGAGCTCAGGCACTGTGCCTGCAGCAGCTCACGGATCATCTGGCTGCTGGCCTTGACCGAACCTCCAAAGTGGATCTGCACCTTCTCAATGTCCATCAGCATCTTGGAGTGCATGGAGCGCAGGCGCCCCACGCTCCGATCCATGTGCGCCAAGTTGCCCCGAGGGAAGGTGGCGCAGCCCAGCTTTAGGCTGAGGAGGGGGTGCAGGCAAACGGAGGGGTCAGGTGGCTGCACCAGCTTGAGCTGGCACTCAGACAGACCTTGGCCCACTCCCTCTCTTTACGCCTCTCTAAACAGGACCGTGTGTGGGCAGGAGCCCTTTCCATAGCACGGGCTTCCCCAGGATGGAGTCCTAAGATGACATAGTGCAGAAGAGCCAAATGGGGAGAAGCCCAGCGACTCCAGCTAAGGCTGAGGGTCCCTGTCCCCGCACACGTAGTCTTGCCTACTGGGAACACCTCGGGCTCTGAAGTGCAGTTTGAAACCATCCTTACTGCTGAACCCCCCATCCTTGGGAGGTGGAGATGCAGTGGGGAGGAGGGCAGGAGCCCCGGGGGAGCATACAGGATGTCCCCACCTTCTCCCTCCACATTCACTGAGCCAACCCTCTGGTGGGCTGATGTGGGACCCCTCCCTTCCCCCCCATGCTGGGGTTGCTGAGATGGCTGAAGCACTGGGGGGATGGGAAGGTACTGAGGAGCTCCCTCAGACAGCCAGCGCACTTAGGGAACGGGGACTCAAAGGCAGGTGGTGACTAAGTCTTGGCTCTTCCTCCTCCTGGGGCGCTCGCCCAGAAATTACTCTCGTGGCTCCCACTGTACCAGCCAGGAGAAAGAGCCCTCCACTCCCACCCTCCAGCCCCCACCCCCAAGTCCCCTGCAAAGCCCTTCCTAGCTGTGCGACCTTGGGCAAGGACCCTGCAGGCCTGTCCTTACTTGCGGCTCTGCTGCCGGACCTGTTCCAGTTCAAAGATTGTGTAGGGGTGGATGGAACGGTGCGCGGGCAGGCCTGGGTTCATAGGAATCACAGGGATAACTCTGGGCAGGGACAGAGAGAAGAGGGGGGTTGGAGAGTGAGAAATCCCGTTGTCCAAATCTGGCACTCCACGGTCTACGTGCCTGAGGGGCCTTCCTGTCCAGGGTCCGGCGGAGGGAAGGTCGGAGGGCTGGCAGGCGGTCAGGCGTACAGGATTGGACCCGTGGGAGAGGAGAAGGGCAAGGAGAAGATCTGGAGGTACATAGGGAATGGAGGAGACAGGGCCCCGCTGTGCCCGCCCTCATGGCCACCAGCTGGGGTTGGCCAGGTGGGAGCACTCACTGTCCGGGCACAGGTGTTTCCAAGGGACGGTCACATGAGAGGCAGTGGAAATGTGCCAAGAGCTGCCTGTGAGGAGTGGGATACACACAGAGGGTGAGAGCCCTGCCCAGAGGGTCTGGAATGGGCGAGATGGAGCAGGCAGAGGGCTCGCCCCCCCCACAGGCCCGGCAGCTGGGACGTCGGCTCGCCAGGGTGGCAGACCCCCAGCTACCAGAGGCAGATCCAGCCCTGTCCCCTGGGAACACAAGAGCTCCTGGATGTGCCTGCTTCTGGGTGTTCATCCAGCACCCGCCTGTCGTAACCCAGAGCCCGTAGGGTTTCAAAGGGTCCCTGAGGGATGCCCCGCGTAAAGCTCGGGGGCCCCCTGGCGGCCAATGATGGAAACCCTGGGATTCCAGACTGCCGTGGGCGGGGCCGCCCAGGACCAGGCTCAGATCTGGGGACCGTGGGCCCCTTCCTGTCACAATGGCTCAGCAGAGCACACCCACCACCCGGGAGCCTTAGCCTCCCCCGCCCCTCCTCCCTTTGTCCACTGAGGTCGTCACTAGCCTAAACTGGAAGAGCTCTTCAAGCTCACAAATTCTGCCACTCCATCTGTGGGATGGTCCGGTGGGATCAGCCATCCCCCCAGAGCACACTGCGTGGGAGCTGTTCGTCCGGGGGCCCCCAGAAGGCCCTGCCTAGTCAACAGTGTGTGCCAACCTCGCCCCCACGCTGTCGCCCAGGCCTCACCTCCGCATGATCGCTGCCTCGTCCGCCTGGTAGAGTGGAGGGCGCTCTTTAAGCTGTTGCCGCAAGGCTTTCCACCGATCCTCCAGCAACTGCTTCACGGGGTCCAGCTCCAGGCGGTCCAGCTGCGGGCGGGGGCGGGGCACCAGTGAGCTCGGGGGGGCGGGGCTGGGGGCGGGGCAGGGGGGGCCTCACCTTGCTGTCCATCTCCAGCAGCAGCTTGTCCAGCAGCTTGTGCCAGTCCTGCTCCTGGTCGCTCATCTTAGCCATCAGCTCCCGCACCATGTGGTTCAGCTGCTCCGTGGTGGCGTCAAACTGGACCCGGCTCACTTTGCCCTCCAGGGCGCTCTTGTCAGCTTTCTGCCGGGAGAGAGAGGAGGGGGTCCCCCAGGTGGGAGAGAGAGCCGTGGAGGAGCTGCACTGCCCTGGGGCATCAACCCTGGACATTGAGACCCCCACACCCACCCCCGGGAGGCTCCCCTCCACTCCTGGCCTTCGGGAGAATGAGCAGTGAGATGTCCTGGGACCCAGGTGGCAGGTGGTGACAGACAGGGTTCCGGGACGGGCCCTTACCACGTCAATCTCCATCTCCAGGTGCTCCCTGTTGGCTTTTTCCTTCTCGAGCTTCTCTAGACCCTGGTACAGCACCTGGGAGGCGGAGGAAGCAGAGAATGAGGAGCAGGAAGCGAATGGCCTCACCTCGCGCCCCCTGACCCCCACCCCCCGCCCCAGCCGCCCTGCCGGCCCCTCACTTCTATGTCCTTCTGCTTTTGGCGGTGGTTCTCGATGAGGCTGCTGGTGGTGATGTTGAGCTTCTCGCAGTCACCCTGCACTTGCAGGATGGCACTCTGGACGTGGCCCAGCAGCTCTTCATCCTGTGGCGGGAGGCGCAGAGGTGTTGGCTGCCGCCCCTTAAAACCTCGCCCAGCAGGTGAGGCTGACATCGGACCCCGTTCTGGCTCTCCTCCGCAGCCTCCCCCTGCAGTGGGGAGGCTCTCTGCTTTTTCCGTGTGGCCCCCTAACTGGACGTGAGCTTCAGTCTCCCCCCTCCCCACGAACTAGCCTTGAGGGGACTGGCCCACTGTTGGGAGAAACCAGAAGAGGCGATCGAAAGGCTCCAGAGTGGCGAGCTGCCCTGTGGCCCCCGAGAGCTGGCATGTGGCCTCTGGCCTCCCCATCTGGCCTGGGCTGGGTCTGAACTCCAGAGTCCAAGAGGCAGGACTCAGGGCCTTGCAACTTCTCCCTGCCGCTGCCAGCAAGCCTGGCCTTCAGTGGGGAATTAAGAAGGGTGCTGGAAGGCTGGCACGAAGGGGACTTAATGAACCCTAAAGCTATGCCAGTGTCGCCCCCGAGGCACACGATTGCACGGCTCCCCACCTCACCCCGCTCTGCCGTCCCACCCCTAGGGAGCCAGAAGAGCTCCGGGGCTCTTCCTCATCTCTCCTGTCTCCAGAGCTCACTCTGTTGCTGGCCCCACTGTGGCCCAGTGAAATGACCTGGGACTATGGTGAGGTCACTAAAGGGCTTCACAATGGAACCAGCCACTCCTGCTCTGTGGGCCTCTGAGCTGTGGCAGGCTCCCCGCTGGGGGCCGTGTGTGGCCACAGGAGGCGGGGGCAGGGGTTGGTGGGAATCACCTGGCTCTGGAGCTTGGCTTTCTTGGATGGCCGGGTGGCGGCCAGATTGACGACTACGTCTTGGAGGTACTCGTAGCGATCCACCAGCAGGCTGACCTGATGGCTCAGGTCCAGGCTACAGGCGGGGCAGGTGGCCTCGGGGTCAATCTGGCCAGGTGTCGGGGCCGTCATCGTCCTGTGAGGAGCCATGCTTATGGACAGCAGCGTGGAAGATGATGCCAGCATGTTCTCGATGATTGTCCTGAGCTTGTCCAGCTGGGCGCGGGCGAGAAGGCAGGTGCAGGGCCGTGAGTGAGGAATGGCTGCCTTCTGTCCACACTGCCACCGCTAGCGGGGGCTTGCTGCCCCTTCTTGGCAGCCCCAGGGGTTGCTAAGCTCAGCCAGGAGCTTTGCAATGGTAGGGGACTCTCGGACACATCTGCTACTCCTCTGGCCCCACAACGGACAACTGGCTTTGGGGTCATAAGATGCAACACGCTGGTGCTCTGGCAAAACTTGGAAATGGCCCAGAATGGGGTCTCCAGCACCGAAGGGCTCCTGACATGAGTCCCCTTGGCCCTGTGGCTTTTCCTATCTGATCGTTCCATAAACGCTCAGAGGGCTGTCTTGGGCCAGACGCTCCTCACTGGGGACATTGTGGGGTGACCAAGGATAGCATCACCTAAGATTTAAAGGTAGACACTGTCAAGAGGGTGAAAAGGGGGCACCTCGGGGGCTCAGTCGGTTAAGCTCCTACTTCAGCTCAGGTCACGATCTCACGGTTCGTGGGTCCGAGCCTCACATGGGGCTCTGTGCTGACAGCTCAGAGCCTGGAGCCTGCTTTGGCTTCTGGGTCTCCTTTCTGCCCCTCCCTACTTGTGCTCTGTCTCTCTCTCTCTCTTGAAAAGAAATGAACATTAAAAGGAAATTAAGTGCGTGAGAAGACAATGGGGGAAAACATTTGCAAATGATGTGTCAGGTAAGAGTCTAGTAGCTTCACTGTCCAAGGCCAACGCCGAGAAGGGGCCTGATTCCTGCCGATGGAGAGCATAGAACGCTCACCTGGTCCTGCAGGTAGAGAGAGGCTTCAGAGACCGAATGTTCCATGCTGACCTTGCCCCGCTCTTGGCTCTCCCTGAGCTCGGCCAACTCCTTCTCAATATCGGCCATGGTGACTCTGAGAGACATGCAGGAGAAGTGGCCTGGCCTCACCACCCACCCCGGGCCCACCGGGGTCAGAGTAAGACACACACCAGGGCTCTCCCACCCACCCCGCAGCACTTTCCATCTAGGGAGTCCTAGGTGCTGCGTGTCCCGGAGGTGGGTGCCCGCCTGCTGGCCTGAGAGGTTTCTAGGGGGTGAGACCCGGCATCGCAAAGTGATGGCATCTGGCAGGCGCCCTCCTACAGCCTCCCAACTGCGGAGAGAGACTGGCTGCTCTTTTCCTTCCCAGCCCTGGTGCTGAGCTGTTTTAAGAACCTAGGAAATGTCCACCAGCAACTTGAACTAGACAATGGACACCCTGAAGGGCAGACACAGTCCGGGTCAAAGACAGGGCCCAGTTCAGACTGAGTGAACCCAATGCTGCCGTCGCCTCCTCGGCTGGGAATGTGTGATGCCAGGACACAAGCTGCCCTTGGCAGGGGCCTTTTACCTGAGGACTCCCAGCTGCACGCTCAGCTCATCATCTTTCATTTCTTTTCCTATTTCCTGCTCTGCGCCGCACTCCAGGAGCCTCTGCATTCTGTCCAGCTGCAAACCCAATGGAAGGGGAAGGTCAGGCAGGCTTGAGCTCTTTGCTTTCTGAACACATCCCTGCAGCTGGAGCGGACCCCTTTCCCAAGTCCTGGTCCTGATCCTATCCTCTAATGAGCCATAGAGCCATCCGTCAGTGTGTCCCTTCTGGACATCCGTTTGTCCATCTCTCCATCCATTCCGTGCATGTGGACACCTGGCATTAAGAGAACAGCTGAAGGTCTAGCAGCTCCTCACCATGACCACTGGGCCCAGACAGTCCCGCAAACTTGGTTCCAAAGCTGCTGTAGGGACAGTGGGCTTTGCCAGAAAGAGCCACGTGTAATGGAAGGAGCACAGGCCTCCTTGTTGGCTCCGCTGAATCTTTTTTTTTTTAATTTTTTTTGATGTTTGTTTATTTTTGAGAGAGAGACAGAGTGCAAATAGGGTAGGAGCAGAGAGAGGGAGACACAGAATCCGAAGCAGGCTCCAGGCTCCGAGCTGTCAGCACAGAGCCCGACGCGGGGCCCAAACTCACAAACTGTGAGATCATGACCTGAGCTGAAGTCGGACGCTTAACCGACTGAGCCACCCAGGCGCCCCTGGCTCCGCTGAATCTTAACAGCTTTGGGCGTCAGGTTTTAGATCCAGGAAATGAACATGGTGATCCCTGAGGTGCGTTTCCTATATGATGGGTTTGTAAAGATCCAATGGGATGATGCTGTCAGCGAGAGGACTGTATAATCTATCAAAATGCAAGTGCAAGGTGGGATTGCTGGTGCTCAAAGGCAAAGTGGGCAGACCTTCCCTTACTTACTTTTGCTTTTTCCTGCCGCACTTCTTTGGTCAAGGTCTTCAGCTGCTCCTGCAGGTCAGGCGGCATAGTCTTTTTGACTATGAAAAATGGAGGCCTTATAGTCAGAAGGTGGAGACCTCCAGCAGGCTCGCCATCCCAGCCCCCACAGTGAAGCTACCCCAGAGAGCAGCAAGATGCACCTGCTCTTCCTGGTGACTAGGGAGAGGGGACGGGCAGAAAAGGGGAGACGGGGTGTTTTCATCCCATACAAAATCTACCTGATGCTGAGTATCCTAAGGGGCTTTGGGACTAGTGACCCACACTTCCCACCCAGCTCTCAAATCTTAATGATTCTCTGGTCCCACAGCTGTGAACAAAGGTGAAGTTGAATTCTTCCATGTCCTCCCTCCCCGCCCGCCCCCGGGTGCTAGGGCCACTCTTGCCCGCTGTCCTCAGCTGCTGTCCAGAGAGTCTGGTGAGGCATCATAACCGCCTCACTCCTCTGCTGAGGCTTCTTCACGCCTACTGGTTTAATTCCAGCTTTTGGCCCCCAAAGGCTATGGAATAACCAGAATGGCTACAAAAGGGTATGCTATTGGCGGCGACTCAGGGAGAAACTCAGCTGCCAGGAGAGGAGGCCAGGGGGAGATTAAAACACAGCCAGCGGTCCCTCCTCCGCACAAGTGGTACCTACCCATGAGTGTAAGCAAGTGCTGTAACTTCTCTAAGTCGGTCTGGCCAGCCTGCTCCTCCTCCAGCTCCTTCATCTTCTCCTTGAGCTCTACATAAAGGCCAACGAGCTCTCCCATTAGACGAAATGTTTCCACTGCTATGGGGAAGCTGGGATACAATTTCTCCAGTGAATCACGTCTTTCGCTCTCGATGTCACTCCTTTCCGATAAGACCCGGTCGAGATCGTTGAGAAAGAGTGTACTCTTGGCAAAGGTGGCTTCTTGGCTTGGGGTAGTTTGGACAGAAATTCCAGGTTGGTCTGAAGTATATATTCGTTTTGGACCCAAACTGACCTGGACATACTGATCTATGCCAGGGAAGCCTGGATCATGAGGGCCAGGATACATTAGGTCATGGGGTTCTGCGATAGAGTATGAATGGTCCTGCTGGTCTGTACTGGGTTCTATCTGGACACGCTGGTCTGTGCCAGGATGTACCAAGCCTTGCTGATAAGCTTCTGATAAACCCTCTTGGTCAATACCTGGTGATGCCAAGCCTTGACTGGTGAGGAGTGGTGACACCTGGCCACGTTGATCTTTCTTAGGAGGTATTATGCCATGCTGATATGGATGAGGTGGTACAAATCTTAGAGACTCCTGGTGGACTGCTGGAGAGCCACGGAGCTCTGTGCCTGCTGGTATCAAGCCTTGTTGATCTACACCAGGTCGCCTCAAGCCACGCCGATCAGTACTAGGCTGCATGAAACCACGTGGAAATGCACCAGGCTGGACCAAACCACGAGGATAGGCACCAGGTTGGACCAAACCTTGTGGATAGGCACCAGGTTCTACTAAACCAGGAAGATATGCACGAGGTTGAACCAAGCCAGGCTGATATGCACCAGGCTGCACCAAACCACGCTGATCCATTCCAGGCTGCACCAAACCAGGATGACCCATTTGAGGTTGAGCCAAACCAGGCTGACCTGCCCCAGGTTGTACCAAACCACGCTGATCCATTCCAGGCTGCACCATACCAGGCTGAGCTGCACCAGGTTGCACCAAACCAGGCTGGTCCATTCCAGGCTGCACCAAACCAGGCTGACCCATTTGAGGTTGGGCCAAACCAGGCTGACCTACAACAGGTTGCACCAATGCAGGCTGACCTGCTCTGGCTTGTGCCAAACCACGTTGATCCCCAGGTGGCACCAAACCAGGCTGACCCATTTGAGGTTGGGCCAAACCAGGCTGACCTACACCAGGTTGCACCAAACCATCCTGACCTGCACCAGGCTGGACCAAACCAGGCTGACCCATTTGAGGCTGGGCCAAACCAGGCTGACCTACACCAGGTTGCACCAAACCATCCTGACCTGCACCAGGCTGGACCAAACTAGGCTGACCCATTTGAGGTTGGGCCAAACCAGGCTGATGCATTTGAGGCTGCACCGAACCACGCTGACCTGCACCAGGTTGCACCAAACGACGCTGATCCATTCCAGGCTGCACCAAACCAGGCTGACCTGCCCCAGGTTGCACCAAACCACGCTGATCCATTCCAGGCTGCACCAAACCAGGCTGACCAGCCCCAGGTTGCGCCAAACCACGCTGATCCATTCCAAGTTGGACCAAACCACGCTGATCTGTACCAGGCTGCCTCAAACCATACTGATCCATTCCAAGTTGGACTGAGTCTTGCTGACCCAATCCAGATTGCATCAAACCAGGCTGATCTGCACCAAGCTGTACTAAACCAGATGGATAAACATCAGGGTGTGCCAAACCAAGAGGATATGCACCAGGATGTACCCAGCCACTGGCATATGCACCAGGTTGTTCCAAATCAGGGAGATAAGCACCAGGCTGAACCAAACCACTTTGATCTACAATAGGCTGCATCA